TGACCCATCGAATCGATATCCGTTAGCGAGCTCAACAGGATACCGGACTGAGGTAGGTCTCGTTACAGAATAGAAAAAGCGCGGTAGTCAATCCGGGGGTAGAAAAAACGTGTGACCAATTGACCGATGAGGTGCGCTGAACGGAAGCGAATCCAAATTGATGGATTCTCAAATCAGTCTTACGATGATACAGAATGGTCGAACACATCCCTAAGGTGATAAAATATTGAAAATTGGTTCTCGTAGCTCGGGTGAACTGAATTCCATTTCGCCTGTTCGCCGAGCTTGGCAATTTGTTTGCAAACAAAGGCAAGGTATAAAATTGCTGTGAGACCAAATCCAAAACTCCGGATTGTAAAACGGATTTCGACAATGTTAATGCCGCATTTATCCACCCATCAACTGATGCCATCACGGTATTTGTTCTGGACGATGCCATTTAAGCAGAGGCCTTCACGAAAGAACCTTTTGCATACCGTGAAAACCACGTGCAGCGTTGGTCCCGATGGTCTTTCATCTTCTCGTCTGAGATATGGGACCTATTCTCTCAGTGAAATATTCACATCATTTCTAAACAATTCCTTAAAAACCCGCTCCATACCAGACTGTTGGAAACCAGGAACAATTGCTCCCATTCCCAAATCTTCTACTTCAAACGTTCTAACCAAACGCTTTAACCTCTGTTGGACGTGAACTAGCAGATAGTGTTGTTCTTAAGCGCATTCAGTCCTCCATTGATGTCCCGTATGATCCTCTTTAGTTTGCCTATAAACCAAACAGATACACGCTAGATGCAGCTTCCTCTCTGTTACAAAAAATTACCAGATCCTTCTATGACTCGGCGAAAACTGTTCGCTGTTTCGGGACTAGTCATCCGCTTTTGATTCTATTCCTCGTTCAGTTCTTCTTCCTGAACTGAAGAACTTTGGTTGTCTTAGACAGTTATTAGCTTGGCTTGCCGGAAGAACTCAGTGTACCAGGTTAGGTTGGAAGAAATCCAAACCGTTGTTGAACAGCTCTGGGGTACTCAAAGGTGCAGTTCTTTCCCCATACTTATTCTCGACGCCTGCGCCCCTACTTCTGTCTTCACGTATGCTGACGAAGTGGTCTTGTGTCAGGCTATCTCTGAATCTTCTGGTCTTTCACAATTTTCTGACAACTTAGATAGCGTCCAACGGTTTTCCGCCTATCTCTTAATCCCTCCAAATGTCTCGAATGTCTCTTCATATTATCACGCTCTTCTTTCCCAAATGAACCAGTATCCCGGGTAAACTGTATTAAATACCAGGGTAGGAGGTCCGTGTCTCCCGTCGCGGCTGGTCACCCTTTCCTTGTACCTCGCGAAATGCGCTCATAGGACCAAGAATCTCAAATAGCCTCTGCTGAGGAAGTCTTACTCACTGTCTTCCTATGGCGGTGTTTTCCCACCAATTTGGGAGGACGAAAAACCGACATCCAGGGCTATAACCAGGTTCGTGGACCACTGGTAGTTCACCTAAGGGAGTTTACCGAAAACCCTAATTACAAACCCACCCACACTTTTCCGGTTGTGGCAGTGGTCATCGGCTCGATTGGACATTGAGGTGCGTTCGGCACCTTGGACGTCTGACCCCGTCTAAAGGGCGTATGATCTGATGAACTGGACACTGGCTCCCAATGGATTGCGGTTCTCACACCGCCCCGCTACCTTGCGGGTCAGGCTTTGAATAGTCAAAGGCTCCGGTTGTGGACTCCTCAAGAAAATTCACCTGGCCCGGAAAACCTGGCAGTATTCAGCACNAACCAATGATGGAACACTTATCTTTATCAAAAAGATTATTGTTGGGCACACATTCTGGCCTCAGACAAGTGTAAAATATAATAACATTTTTATTGTTACCAATCTTCACGGGACCTCTCACATTCAACATATCGTCAGTAAGTTTCCACGACTTTCTTTTCATATCCGTAAACTTCGTCAGTCTATTATTCAACAATCAATTATTTCCAAATTTGTGTACTAGTGTGTTTTCCTCGTTTTACTTTGTTATTCACCTGCTATTTTTCATAATTTCCTTAACAAAGATTTTAAACTGCTTCTACGTGCAGTGACCATCATCAGCCGTATCTCTTCAATCCCGCTGAAGAAGTTGGTGACTGATCTATGCGAACAGCATTTGAATGCATGTGAAACGTTTGCACCTAAGATGCTTATCGACTCCGCACATCCGCTATACGCAGATCTAACTTCCTGTTGTTCCTATCCTTCAACTAGATCCCAAAATCGTTGTTCCCTCTCGAACAAACATATATCGTAACTCAACAGTACCCTCATTAGCACGTATTCTAGTCAACAAAGAACAGGTTTCCACAAACTTTGTTAACAGTTTTGGGATTTAAATCTCTTTTCATTATTATTATTATTTTTTCCCTTACCCTTTTTTATTACACACTTAGGTATGATGAACAGCAGACGGGGTTAACTCCACAGTCACGAGGACCTGCTGTTCAGTGTTTGAAATCGGCAACCTAAGCCCCGGAACTTGGAGTGGCGAACCACATAAGGCCCCGATAGGCTAGGCGTGGTATTGAACCGGACGACAACAGAGCTGCCTACCACCAAAGTCGGGTGGCGGGGCTCGAACCTCGGACCACAGGATCCAAAGCACGCCGGTGACAGCGACTAAACCACTGCGCCACCACCACCTGTATATTTTTACCTGATATGTAGGCTTTATGCCTACAGAAGTTATAACAATACAATACAATGCACAGTCGAACTGTTTTGTGCGCAGAACTCTTTTGTCGGATGGTGAACGTACTACATCTCGGAGAAATGCCATTGGTTTGCGACTGTTATTCAATGAGCCACCGTTGTGCTCTGGATCCTATGTATGATACGGGCTTCACCACCACCCCCAATGTTGGTGGTAGCTGTTGTCCACAGTCTAGCGTGACTTGCGATTCGCCACACAAAGTCTAGGGGCTTAGGTTACCCTTTATCATAATGGAACCGTAGGTCCTCGTAAACATGGGATTCATCCTGTCTGTTGTTCATCACACAAGTGTGATAATAAACTTAGTTTACTCACTATTAGCTATTACCTCATCCGCGACCTGGGGTCATGTTTGGTAGCATGCAGTTCCGAACTTCAGACGCACCTGCAATCAAAGCCGTTCACAATTCTATTACCTGGATTTCAATCCCTCTAATGTTTCCTCACCTCCCGCATTGACACACTTGTGACTTAGTGCGCTATATGCGAGACGGTCAACTGACAGCTGACTACCAACAACCGCATCATATGAAGAATTGGTTGAAATGCCTTGGCTGTTATGAATTCGGATCCTGATTATTTAGAAACAGATGGATGAAAGAAGTCCACAAATCAACGCATGAAGTTTATGTACACAGAGTGCAAAGGAGAGATCAACGGGCACAACTGATCCTTGCGTCTATCGTCGTCTCCCACCATTTCTCGGTTTGTGAGCCATCAGTTTTACCGGTCGACCGCGTGCGGCCCCACCACGTCGTTTGCTTTTACCACGACTGCTGCGTTGCAGTCCACGAAGATCCGCTTTCATACGTCGATCAACTATCTTCACCTTGGCACCCTTGGGGGCTTTCCCTGTCTGGTTACGTGCTCCGGCTTTCGTGTTCACAATCACATGCAACGGTCTGCGTTTTTTCGTCAAAAGTCCAGCTTTCTTGTACATTCTGTGGGACATGGTGGGGGAATAAAATATATCACTTTAGTGGTCGGTTTGTGAGCATAAGGTAGACAGATGATAGAAAGAAAGGATTCCTATGTAATTCACCAATAATTGAGAGTAATAGTGGTAATTTTTCATGACTTAATATATTTAATTACCATTCGAAAGGGATACGTGTGGGGCACACGTGTTCGTAAAAAGAGAGGAGAATATCAACACCCTCCAGGGCACCTTAGGAGGAGGGAGATTTTTCTTGCCTAAGATGTAGACGGGAGAAAAGGGTCTTTCTTTATATACCACTTCGCCAAAAGTGACTTCCAAGCGTACCATGCATATTGGAATGCATATCAACTTAATTGGAATTGCTAAAACATGTTTTCCTCGAAAAAACACAATCAAGAAAACAAAGACAGAAACGGCATGAAATCAGCCCGCGAAAACAGTACAGCATAGACAAAAAATGATACGTTGATCGAAACAATAAGTTTGTTCTATGGTGACGGGTATATCTTCTGAAGGATTTACGAAAGTCGCAGAACAGTGAATGTACTCAACAAAAGCGTGCAGCAAGTTTCTCCTTGACCTGTTTGTTCTTTTCGGGGGATGGCAGACTAACTTTTTTAATACATAAAGCAGATAAATGTCGTAAGATCTGAACACTTCGTTTAATCTTCTCAATCGCTGACTTAAACAGGCACAATATATAGCACATAGGGTTGATCAATTACAGTGAACGAACGTGTACAGGCATACAAAGAAGGTCAACTCCATGGTAAGTGGATTGATTGTATCAAAACCTTTTAAGCGCATTAGGTCGTTTGATGTAAACGAATAAACAACGCTTCACTGGTTGCCCAATATTCAGCATTGTGATTATGTAATAGTGGTTTGATAGATAAACTGGAGTCATCCATGTCTTATTGTCGTAAGATGTCTATGCAACAGATGACCCTAGCTTTCTTGCGATCACCTGACCAACGATTATCGGTTGCGTCATCGATTTCACCAATCACTTTGGAATATGTCCGGTCATCCGTTGTGACAGCTGACGGTTTGTTCTCCCTAAATATGCGCAACTGCAAGGGAACTTTTGTACAGTGTGAGATTGAACAAAAAATATAGCGAACAAGCTTGTATCAGTAACTTCGTCTTTAGGCATTCACAATTGTATGTTTATACATAATGTGGAAATAAATGTGATTGGTCCATAGAGGTTCAATGTGAAAGTACAACAAAGTCCGTCAAGTTCACTCGGAGCAAATGGAGGAAAGGGGACCATGGTCAATTCTGGAAATTTCCGATAACCTTTTACACGTGAGACTCGTCACGCGTCACACGTCATCGGAACATGATTGAGGTCATGGTGCGGATCGTCACGTAGGTTAAGGCGGGACCAAGACAAACGGAGTGCGGCAACAATTTTCTTCTATTTGCAGAGTCGATGGTACAGTATTTTGATTGCTACTGCTTCTGCCGGTGCCAAGTGGCGTTGTCGAACGTACTTTGACTTATTTTGGGGCACCTTGTAGATGAATATATATATATATATATATAACGACTATATAAATGCATCATTGTCTATCTGATGCCCGGTATTAGCGGGGTGGGCCACAATCGCATCAGTTATTGTTTTCAAATCATTGATTAAGAACATACAGTTCAGTTCGGTTCCTATAACCAATACCATGCACTTTCATGCAATGGTTTTGGCTGCTGTCTTTATATTGCCCATTTGGATAAAACAGCAGGATGAAGATTGAAATATTGAGAACAAATTCAAGTGAAATATAGGGAATTTATATAGACTGAAGGTACAAGAATAATGAGTAGATGCACGAACGGCACTGTTTGCGGCATCCAGACAAATCATTCAGTGTTTCTAACCATCGGTGACTATGATCTCGGGGTCCGCAGCCAAGAAGCTCAACGGGATCTGTGTGACCGAGTCTCCCAGTTAGGGTTTTCGTTCCCTCAAGTTTTTGTTTGACCTCCCTTGATCATTTTCCAATCGCTATCTGTATCGACAAACATGGCTCGCCGTTATGACATGTGTAACACATGTCCTAACCACACTTTATCTGTGATGCGTCCGCCGGGTGAGAAATAGCTGACAGATAGCAAAAATATGTCTAATTACTCCACTACTTCCTCAGTCAGTGTGAGGTTGGAGGCTGGACCATTCCAATCTTGTAGCAAAATTTTACAACTTGAAGATGCAAAACGCATTCCGAACATGGCAACACTATACCTTTTCAACTTCAAGTGAATCCAACCAATCGCACTCTTTTTAGAATCCTGCAAGATGATTGGTGTTTCGAACGTCAAATGTCACCGATTGGACCGGGTTTGTCTAAGCCCCATCCAGTCCGAATGAACTCACTTCCCCGTAAACAAACAAAAGTACTTTTTGAGTGAGTTACTGAGCGAAGGTGAATGTTTCGATGGGGTGAGACGGGCCGTTCTCACCCCGCCCAACTCGATTCAGAGTAGAAAAATGTCACTGCTTTACACTTGTACGATAGATAGCTTGTTTACACAATCTTTCTTGGTAACATACGGGAAATATACTGCAAAGTGGCATCCGCAATGCCACTAAACCTTTTCCCTTATTCGACATTCAGTATTAGGATAACCGTGGGTAGAATCTCTTACCGACCATTACTTCATACCTCATGGAGTGCCCGGTACAGAGTTATCATAGCTAGTTGGGTCATGAATAACTGTAAATCATTCATATCCTCACCTGTCTCATTCACTAAACTATAAGTGATCTCACAGATGTAATCAGTATATGAAAAGATGCGACGGGTTTAGCAATGATTCAATAAAGATAAGAACCTATGCGATGAAGCTGAGTAGTGAAGGGAGAACCGCAGGTAACGGATTCTTGTCATTGACATTGCGGATTAAATGTATTATTCAACCAAGGAATGACAGAAAAAAATGATTTCTGTTAGCTAGTGAATAGATTCGAATTTGATCTTATTATTCAGGTGAAATACTCTTACTTCTTTCACCATTGTAACCATTGTTAAGTATCTTGTCAAGTATGCATTTAAATGTCAGAAACAGATAAGCAATCGCATTTGATTCAAAAGAATCGGTTTTATTCGAGAGAATCTCGGCCTCAATGGAATTTACTTTTTGGGTTATTGAGGGTTTAGATGGACTCCACTCACGCAATCAATCATGCTCACATTCACGTCTGGACATGGTGACCGACTTATCGATCGATCTTGACGTGATTCACTTCCTTACCCGACCGACAGAGGTCAATTAACTCCGGGTTCGTTTAGTCGTATCTATGACGCACGCTGTATAAACAACCACGAATATGACGTTCCCGGGTGGAACGGGGCTGTGTGCGGGGCGGGGCGGGGGGGGGAACGGCTCACTTCAACCCACACTCCTGAAACATTCACCTTCGCTCAGTAACTCACTCAAAAAGTACTTTTGTTTGTTTACGGGGAAGTGAGTTCATTCGGACTGGATGGGGCTTAGACAAACCCGGTCCAATCGGTGACATTTGACGTTCGAAACACCAATCATCTTGCAGGATTCTAAAAAGAGTGCGATTGGTTGGATTCACTTGAAGTGGAAATGGCATAGTGCTCAAGCTATCCAGCAAAGCTGGCAACTTACCTGGATCTCCACTTAGTAGCACAATGTCGGATGCATACTGAAGATCAGACAGTCTGCCACCAAGAAGCAACTGGATACCGCTGACTTCGCACGAGGAACTAAATCCATACCAAAGTTAAATAGAAAAGGAGAGAGACCATCTCTGTGGAAAATCACTTTCTGTAGTGAACTCGGGTGAAAAAGTGCCATAATCTCGGACTCAGCATCGGCTACTAGTATAAAGCGATTGTATTATTGAAATGAACATCTAGGGAACACCATTCAGTGAAAGGCAGCACCAGAGTTTAGAACGGTCGACTGAGTCGAAAGCCGCTTTCAGATCGAGGTACACAGAGATGGTGGGCCTACGAAAGTAGTGTCTATGTTCTAGAATTTGAAGAAGAGTGAAGATATGGTCAATACAGCCTCGACCAGGTATAAAACCAGACCAGTGCTCACGCGTGCACTCTTCACGTGCGGCAGACAATCGACGGAGTATGATGCCGGCGAGAAGTTTAGAGGCAATATTGATTAAACTAATTCCTCTGTGGTTTTCACAAGAGGATCTGTCACCTTTCCTGTAAATCGGTATGATCACCGATTCACACCATTCCGTGGGAACCTGTTCCTTTTCCCACACTGAGCCCAGGAGTTGTGTTAACTCCGAAACCAAGGCTGAATCAACAATGTAAAGTGCGTTGTGAGCTGCGATTCAGTCGAGAAGTGAACGCTCGGCCTTGACACTCAGCGGAATCCCGACACTATCAACACCGTGAGCCTCGGATGCCGAATCGCCTGACACGAAGAGTGAAGCGTGAGAATGAGGTTGGATCTGGAGAACAAAAGATGATTGAAGTAGGGTCTTGTGTGCGCGTTTCGGAGACACAGCATACATCTAAATGGAAGATTTCAAGGCAGCTTGTTGACATCATTAAATGCACCTAAATGAAAAGGAGATTCTGGTTTCGAAAATCTAATAGCCTCTGAGTGGTTGGTCTCATTAGTTGAACACTAAGTGATGTCCGATGGCTGGCGCAAACAAGATGCATCTCCTAATATCTGGGAGTGAGAAGAGGTAGTGGGCAGTTGAGAAAGATGGTTTTCCCAATGGGTGCCTAAGACTTTGGGGCACAACATACTTCGTGGTTGCCCACACAAACGAAGGGGTTATTCTTTAGGAACAATAACCGGAGCCTTTGACTCAAAAGTCTGACCCACAAGGCAGTTGGACGTAGATCCAACGCGGGAGCGTGAACAAAGTACCCGCGTGTGAGCTTCTGGAGACCTGTCACGCAAGGCCTTTAAATTTCGGTTGCGTTTTGTTCACTGGTGTGTTGATTGTCGGTCCGCTTTTCGGGATCAGCCCTTAGCCTCATGCACCCAATCAGACAAGCGGAACGTGGACGGGACAACACTTTATTGGTTGAGGGCTACGCAGCTTGGGCCGCCGGTAGCCGTCCAATGAAGTGCGAAGACTTCTCCCACCGTCGAGAGGAAGCCCCAAGTACCCCGCTCCTACGTCCATCTAGCGGGGGTTTTTCGACCGGCAAACTGTCCCTCATCGTGTTTATTTGCTGTAGTGACCTCTCTGGGGATGGGGTGGATAGAAGAAGGAAGCCAGGAGGTGCCCAAGCAGCTGGCCTTGGGAGACTGATCTTCGTCTGGCCTTTGCCCATTGATCTCTCAGGCATGATTGGATCCGCGACTGTGAGGAGCCATCCTGGGTCATGCTGGCGCACAAGTCATCGCCCCACACCATGGTGCAGTCTCGTCGTGTTGGATTAAGAACATACAATGAAGGCGAACATATTTTTTCGGTGGATTCCTTTTCAACCCTTTACAATCACATTTATATGAAACAATTTGAACAGGGTCACACACAGGGGGATAAGTATTTTGTTTGGCAATGAACCCAAGAGAACTCCAAATTAGTGTGCCGTTTGGATCACGTAACAAAAGTCGTTCCGTCATGGTCATGTGAACAAGTGATTTGCTCTTCCCTTAGCCAGGGGATTTTGAGAGGTTGAATCAACCTCCATTGTGCGTACAACTCAAGCTTCGTGAGTCGACTGCTAACGACCGAAACCGTATTGCTCTGGAGGGGTGTGGTGAGACTCGATAAATGATTGTCAGTGTCGAAGTCATGTCAACCAAGTGTCCCGTCTCTTGCAACGCAAAGCCGGTCTGTTTTCTGATAACTGTATCACCGTGCTTCCCACATAACTAGCCGAACACGCGCAAGTGGAGGAATATGAAATCATGGATGAGGAGAGGATAGAGGGAGCCTCAAGAATGGTTCATTCTTTTCGACCATGATTGCTTTTGTTAATGTGGGCTTTCTATATAAATCTTCTCAATGAAACGATCCGGGTATCGATTATTCAGGAGTGTAGAATTGAAGATTATTGGTTCTTCGTGCATTAGATCTTTGGAGCAAATCATTCGAGTTCTAAAAGGCCAGACATTGGACTAAGTTCCGTTTAAATTTGATTGGGACGAAATTATTGTATTGACCGTCCCATACTGGTTTGCGCAAAATCGAAGGGGTATAACTTTCCAATGGGCCCCTTCTTCAGGTTAAAATCGAGGGAGCGAAACGCATCCTGATCCCCTGTTTCAGTGGAAGAGCTAGCTGATTGACGGATGAGCTCGGTTAAAACGATCTAATATCATGTTCCACTCACCGCGGAGTTTACCTTCTACTTCCAAATTCCGTAACCTTTACATGCATGTACACGTTCGTTCAGCATAGTTGATTAATCCCATGCACTATGTATGTATGTGCCTTTTGGGGGAGATTAACCGAAATGGTAACAGCTCGCCACATTTGACTTCTGTCTGTAATTGGTGAAGTGGATAAAGGGGACTCAATGATTCAAACACCAACTTTGTAGGTAGCTGGGACGAACCACCAACCGTGACAGGACCCAATGCCAACTGTCAGCTTCATACCTCATTGCATTGCTATTATAACCCTTCGCGTAGTGAAAACAGGTCTGAAGAGGAATTGACAAGCAAGTGGGAAAATTAGTTCGCCATAAATAGCCATTACCACTGGTTAATTATTTCGCATGTCGTGACTGAGAAACCGTAGAAGGCCAAGTGAAACGGTGAAAATGTGTCGATTTGGTTGAGACGGGAAAAAATTGAAGCAAAATTGAAGCCTATTGTCCCAGGCTGAGTTGCGCAAAAATTTCGAATCGAAACCAAACAAAAGACCGATTTGCCGAAAACTAGTTCATTTCGCCTCAAACAATCTACTGATAAAAAAAATTATGGATCGCTTATGAGAACACAGGGAACGTACACACCGGGCCATTTTCCTCAAAGTAATTCTACGTCTGCCAAAGAAGTTACAGATTTCTGACTGGGACACTGTATGGTTTGTAATGAAGAAAAACCATATAAACAAAAGTAATTTGAGATTTTCGCAATATCCCGAAAAGTTTTACTTTTGCAACAAAAAAGCTGTCCTGGCCGCTGAAAACGCTAACCATTTTTATACAGAGCTTCTGTCGTGTTCTATACCACAGAAGATCTGCGAACAGGATCAATTTCCTACAATCTCGATTGCTGCTTAGTTTATCAAGATGAACTTCTCTGTTTGATCGGAACAATTATTATCCCAGTTCACCGTTTCATCATACAGACAAACAGAACGAAAGATAACAAACAGTATGCGATGTTGATAAAGTACAGCCCAGTTGTATCATCATCACAATGGGTGAACCCAGATTGAATCAGAAAATATAACGGAAGGAATAGACTCTGAGCAACAATAACAACAACAACAACAAAAACATACTGCTTTATCTGCTGCCACTTCTCGGCCTCCGAGACATCATCCGAAATGCCCTCGACTTTTCGACGGATACGCTTCAAGCGTTTAGCTAGTCTAGCTTTCTGGCGAGCTTTGGCCTCCTCCACTTTGCTGAGAGTACGTCCCATGGTAGGTCTGTTTTCAATCACTTCCTCCTTTAGGATGAAAAATAGAGACGGGCAGGGGAAAAGTCGTACACTGACGGGCAACTGCCAATGGTGAAATCAACCCTTGATATTCAGATGATGTATGGTATGAACTACAATTAAAAACTAAGAGAATAAAACCAGACCAGGAGCCTTTGTGAAATGATTTTAAAGAAAAAAACAACTTAGACCTGGACGATGTATGTTGGCGAAACCAGTTATTCGTGTGTGCTAACATAAACAGTGCCCGTCTCATTACTACTGTGTTGGAAAGGAACTAGTTTCAAAAGCACTTGTTCGTAAAAGCTGTCAATACATGCTGCGTGAACTTGATATGGTGTGTACAGGAACAAACCAATTCGACAGTCGTCGAGCGGTGTGTCACCGATAACACACTGATCTGGAGATCATCCGTTCTTATTTCACCACGGCTGTTGGATTCTGCTTCTACTTTATTTCCTCGGACGGCGGCGTTGAATCCACCATAACTTCTTTCCGAAAAATTGAGTGTACTGTTATTCGTCCGATAGAAGAAAATGCCGAAAGACGATTACCAATTGTTTACCAGCCCGCGCGCACATACACACACAAACACTAACCTAGAGAGAAACAGATGTACTTTAATATAAGAATAAGCAATGAAATTAGTTGATGACACTGATTATACGCACAAGTGATTGATCGCTCTAGTGAGTTGAACCGTTGATGAATAAATCAATCGGTGAATGGATTGATTGATGGATAAGTGAATGGATGATTATGATACACCCGAACACCACATCATTATACTTCAGTAGCGTTTTTCGTTATCGGTTAAATCTCATTAGGAATGAGATCAATGGTTTTCCTCAATGAGCATGATACTTAACACGTGGAGATTTCCCCGGGTGTGCGAACATCCGTATAATGAGAACATCGATTTGAATCAATCAGCAACCGAAAGCCAAAAATGACTTCAAAGGGGTTAGTGGACGCCCAGTCAAACAAAAGGAAACCGGGGTAGTCGGTGGGCAGAGTTTGTAAAGCGTTCGAGCAAGTGATTTGAATCGCACGGAAGTGAACCTTATGTTGGGTTAGAAGGACTTCGTAGATCTGAAACGCTACCGAACACGACACAGGAATTAAACGGAACAAAAAGATCGTTCCTCGAGCCAGACCACTCAGAAGACTACTTTGGGTGGCTTACAATTATCATACAGTATTCCAAGGTCTAGAGATGTGCGGTTGTGGGAGCTGCTACAAAATGGTAATGACAATAATGCACGGAAACAGAAGGAAAAGAGAAGAATGTTGAAATCCTTTACCTTGACAAGAGGAAGAGGTTTGAACATGTGCTTTTTTTCATCCTCGACAAACCAGTCTGGCAATTCTGACGGCTCGTCAAAGAACTGCATCCGATGGTATTGTGACTCGATCAGGTCGCGACGAGATTTCGCCGAACGGACCAAGCGCAAAGCCAAAGCTCGTTCAATCGGAGTGAGAGGGCGACGTAGCCGGCGCAAGCGCTGTAACGATTTCATATCACGAGCTATTGGAATTAGAGGAATTAGGGATTAGGTCAGTATACATGAAGTAATTCTTGTAAGGCTGATGTGGTTGGCACATATTATTAGTTGGAAAAACCAGGTGAGTAGTCGCTGAGATAATCCTTAAAACTATTTAGGTCATTTCATTTTTTATTTTTACACACACTTCCGTGTAACGAACAGCAGACGAGGAAAGCCCCATAGCCACGAGGACCTGCTGTTCAGTGATGGAAACCGGTAACGTAAGCCCCGGGAGACTTGGAGTGATGAACCACATAAGGCCCCGATAGGTAAGTGTATGGTAATGAACCGGACGACAGCACAGCTGCCTACCACCAGAGATGGGTGGTGGTGGCCAGGCTCGAGCCTTGAACCATAGGGTCCAAAGCACGCCGGTGACAGCAATTAAACCACTGCGCCACCACCAATACTCAACGCTCGAGGGAAAGTGATGTTGTCTACTAGCCATACGCATGCAGTGTCCTTCAAAGCATCCGCGTTGAAAATCGCAGGCATTACATCACAGCTAAAGTGTTTACCCAATGCGAGAGTATGTGAATTGCCCGTCAGAATTGCAATGGGTGAAAATCGACCATTTCAATACCCTCTGTTGGTCATCAGTTTACGAATTTATACAGTAGATGAATGACTGTACGGAAAGTCGATATATTAGTGCAAGAGAAATTGTAATGCGACTCTTTCCTCAAAAACGTAACAACGAGGCAGAAGGGAATATAGTGCAAAGGACAGTTGGAATACGAAGTGCGTTCGGAATTATTGCACGGCCTCCACAGTGCATGCATGGCTCTTCACCACGAATTTTCCTCATTGAATCTATCACATGCGCACAAGTAGTATGTGAAATACATGGGAAAAGTATGAGACGCAGGTTGAAGCGGTCAAAACCGGCGTGACTAGAACGGTCTGAACCGTCACATGTGGCAAACAAATCCCACAGACAGAAAAAGCCAATCTCAATCCAAGAGAAACAAAAAAGGTTCAGAAACGAGCATTTCACTGAGAATCACCCTATCGGTATTACCATTCTTGGCGACGGTAACTTGATGATAGCGCATCGCATAATAAGTCGGTAAAGTACATTTGATAAACTGATTTTTGACAAATGAAGTCAACGTGACCTGAGATTAAATCACGGTCCACATATACGTCGTTAACGTGAATAATGATGTGTGACATCACCCGACGACTATTCACATAGATGACCGTGCAATCTCTAATCACGTTCTTGGCTCATCACTTGCATTCAGAATAATTGGTTGATGTCAAAGCATATAGTACACTCGAAAAAAATGGGGTCATATTTTTCTATCGCGGCTATTTACACGCACAATCACGGATGTCAAGGGCATTAAAGAAGTGATAAAACCTACCACCAGACAGGCAAAAGTTCGCCTAGAGAGCCTTATGTGGTTCGCCCTTTCAAGTCCCGGGGATAAAGGTACCGGTTTCCATCAGCAAATCGCAGGTCATCACTTCTATGGAATTTACCCCGTCCGCTACTCGTCAAATAAAAGTATGTAATAAAAACTGGTTGGGCATTGTTAGATTTTCGAAAACACATGCATATATATACACCACTAAATGATGTGGAAAAAAGTGAGGACCGTGCATAAGACTCCAAATTGCAATCCAAATTAACCGAATAAAACGAGTGGTACTACGATCAGTTTTCCGAAAACCATGAATTTATTTTACATTCTCAACGATATTTGAAGGATGAATTTCGTAAACCAAATAAAAAGCTAGCACAAGGAGTGAGCCCGAAACTTGCATTGTACTCGCTAAAAATTGTTTTACCGGGCGGTACTTGCTCTCCAACCTCAAAATACGAAGTGATGTACCAAAATCAAGTATCACGTTTCCTTGACCGTAAGTTTGATGTTCAGGAATGGACTCGGTTCGATCACATCTTCCATGGCAAAGATAGGTAGAACGGCAGTGCCACAGCGACAGCAAAGACAGCAAGCATATTCAAGCCTCGGGTGTTGAACTGAAGCAGAGAGGATATGCACGGTGTTCCCCAGAATAGTCAGTTCTTTTTCATGATTATAGGGAGTCCTAACACCACATGTTGAAAAAATTTGTTAACTCGAGGCTTTCGGTTGTTGATGGTGGCGCGGTTCAAGATGTTTGAGATTAGGTGAGTAGATTAGAGATTAAGGACTGACAGATAGTTGGGCATTATCCCGGCGAGAAAATTCACTGTTACAGCGAGTTAACCGCGTAAACATTTTCAGTGGGGACACATCTAATAGTGGTTTGACGCATTGTACCTTGTTTGCAGTTTCAGCTTTCGAGTAGATAAGTTTTAAGGGTTGACAGACAAAGAGGGAAGAATTGTACCAAAGGTTTCACAGCGAACTACAATGGGATGTAAAGGTGGAGAGAATCGAAGGCCGTTAAGTTGTTGCTGCTATTGCCAAGCATGTCAACACTTGTGATTCATCATTCTACTGCACAGAGACTTCTAGTTCATGTAATCTACAGCACATCTTCGCGAAGATCAGGTTTCCCTCTTACCCTGCTCATCTCCAAGCTGTGTAATAAAAAAGTATTTACACATTAACAGAAACGATGAACAAACCTGAACTTGTCGTATCGTTTTTGGTAGTAGATTGATCTGCCCCCGATGCGTTTGTATCCGTCTCCTTGGCCGATTTCGATTTGGCCTCTGGTTTCTTGTCGGTTACCTTAGTGTCACCATCAGGAAACGTTTTCTGTTTTTCCAGCTGCTTTTTGTTGTTTCGCCGTTTTGTTTTGTTCCGAATTCCATCTGTGCCTGCTTCCTCATCGTCCGAATCCACAGCCATAAGATCCTCTTCACCTTCATCTGGTCCATCGATTGGGTTGAGAATATTCTGGAGCAAAAAGCACATTTACCATTATCGAAACGAATAAGGGAAAGAGTGAAACAAATAGTAAAGGGAAGTGAATAAAACTAAAGATACTCACGGAGTGCATGAGAGAAAATAAAGTATGAGGAGAAAGAACTATTTTCCATCGTTTTGATGCCTATTCATCGGAATAAAGTCAGAGATTAACAACTCAAATGATTCTGCAAACTAGATTGAGATAAACTGATTGGAGACTACAGATGTTTTTGTACTAACCATCCACACGCTGGTGGTGCTCTGATCGACACGAACACGAAAGTGTGTTGCAGTCCACTGATCGATCAAAGGCAACGTACATGTAGTCATTCGGGATTGGACTGTTGCGACCATGATTACTCCCGTATATTCCGTTTGCTGGTGATGCTAATCACTTAAACAATGATAAGCTCAAATAGAGAAAGGAAAAAAAGCTACGATCGCTTAGTGATATGCACAATATGAGCCTCTGACATCAATAGTTTTTCTGATATTCAATTTCTACCTACATCATAGCACGAACAAGCGAACGTTCGTGTATATTTGTTGATGATTTTAAAAGACATCATACAACTTCCCGCATCACATTGGGTGTACAATACCGTGGTACATTTTTCTACCACAGTCGATGCCTAACTAGACAATTAGACCGAAAGTTTTCCACGTCCAGAAACGCGTTCCTCTGAGTAGCTCGGATCATTGTATCTTAAAAGTGTGCCCAACTGTATACAGCAAAACTAATCGGTACACGGTTTTAAGAAGACCATCCAAAATAATGAGTCAAAGGAATTGTTCATCGGTTAAGATCCTTGATTGCCGCCGCAGATTTTTCGGCGTTTCCAGATCAGAAACCCTATATCCTCTGAGAACATGTTACCGAATACCCTGATTGTAAATTAAACATCGTTGCCAACTTTAAATGGTATTCATCCATGAAATAGATTTTCATCAACCATACAAAAGCACGGACGGGAAGAACAGGCCTATCTACATGGACGGAGAACCCATGTCAAACGGCTTACACTCTGGATCAAAGCAGAAATTAATCGTTTAAATAAATTGTACATATGTATTATCCTGGGAAGCTTCAGTTGTCATCGCATGTGCAGAGCTGCCAAACAACTGTGAGGCAGTAACAATAAACACAAAAGGGAAACTGTCGATGTTGAAAGACTCAATTGTGTTTAGTCTAGTTTCACGGTGTACAGCGCTGCCGCACTTCGTATGGCTCTACGCCAACACCAACTATCGAAACCGCCCATGTCCTACAACTGCTACAAAAAGCGATGAATAAAGTTTCTAGTTCAAATTAAATATCGCCCGTGGTACTCAAGATATGTGCGGACACTCTTTCAGTCTACTATCTAACATATTCAGTTTGATAAGCAGAAAAGTTCATGGCATTTGCAGACTGGCCAAGATAACTCTCGTCCCCAAAGTGGAACCTGGGAAGCATCGTGTTCCGCAAGGTGAAATTTTCCCCGTTTATCTTTCAATGTATGTCAAACAATTTTTTCATTTGTTTTACATTAATTGGTTATAAATAAGCAGATAACTTTGTTTCGAGATGCAAAGCATCTGCCTTGTAGAGGCTTCAGAAATTCAAAGCGAACTAAACGACGTTGTTAGTTGGTCCTTGTCCCGTTCCCTCTCACTGAACGCCTTTAAATAACCGTGTAGTGTTTTCTCTGTTGGCCGACGTACCGTATTTAGCCGTCACACAGGTTTCCCACCTTTCCTGCCATTCATGAACCCGTATCGTCATTAACAATGGTAAAACACTTTGGCGTCACATTATCACTATTTATCACGGTCACTGCATGTTCAAAACACATTCTGTAAAATAAGAAAGCTTTCATATTTCTCACACCGACTAAGAATACTTCCTATTCTTCATAAGCTGATTGTTAGGTTTGTGAATGCTTCCCCACTGGCTGTACTGCTTCCCAGTGATTTTCCCCAGTATGTTGAAAAAGGACTTGCTTATACTGGTGAGATCTCTGAAACACATATCTAAATGTAGTGGCATAGCCGAGGATGAACTTGCAGACTGTCATAGACAGATACATATGAAAATATAATGGTCAAAATATTCTCAGACAAACATCACCAATTCCACAACGAACCTTCAAAAGCTGTATCGACATCATACACATGCTTGAGGTTTGAACTTTTATTTGCACGCAGCTCTCCTTATCGTCATTCTGTTTTGTCATATCTCTCACATTTACTTGTTGACAAGGAGAAACTTTCCACAGAATCATGTAATCACTTGTTTCATTGACAAACACGATATCTGTGAGTAACTCGGGAGAACAGAGCTGTATGCTACCGAGCGCGTCCCCAGGTCGCGGATAGGGAAACGGCCGTCATCTCGCGGCTAACCGTGAATAAGGTGGGCCTCGGCCCTCCGAATAAGCGATCGCGGACGATCAGCGACAGCGCTCGAGGATGTGGTGGGTTTACTTCTTGGCAAGAGTACTCCGCACAAAACACCACACATATCTGTGGACGCGGCGAGTGTGGTCCACCACTAAAAATGACCATCGTCCCTTGTCGAAATCTATTGTTCGGCAAGGTTCCAGAGGAGGCGAGTGAACCAAATACTGGCCATTGGCTCATCTTAAATATTGCTGCTGCTTTGCAGTCCGCGTTCAGTAGCGCAAAGGCTAGAGTGCACCTTCGAACGGGGCCTACTCTGGACCGGGCGAACGAGCAGTAAAACAGCCCACAATGCCAGTAACTATGAACTATGACCTCTTCGACTTCTATGTGCATTCAGTCTACAATTTCTGCAACTAGAAACAAACACTCTACAAACACATGCCCCCCCAGCCGCCCTCCATCCCACATCCACCCCCTTCTCGGGATATTCAGACGATCGTCCAAACACTAGTGCCTCAGATGGAAACCCTGCCGCTGTTCCCTCGTGTCATATCTCGACTACCGGCCAAGTTTCACCGATTCCTCCACCAGCTGAAGCCCTTCTTTGCCCTCGATGCCCATTCAATCTAGCCACATTTAATGTGCGCACCCTGATGCGTATAGGACAACAGATTCAGATGAGATTCAGATGACACTGAACACGGAGCCTCAGCCACATCGCAGGGGATAGCCTGGTTAGCGACTGGCCAGTTGAATTATTCGTTGAAGTACTCTGCCCACCGGTCAAGCCGTTGTTCCTTATTGTGAATAGTTTGCCCATTTTTGTCGCAGACTGTTTCACCAAATGTGGGTGGTTGGGATTTGCCGCTGTTTATCATTATTGAGACTGCGACGCTGAATTTGAGCGCCACGTTGCTGTCGTTGAGAGGTGTGTCGGAAGTTGCTTCTGGATAGGAACAGATGACGATCTGCGCAGAACTGAAGAATTCGATCGCCACTATCTGTTCGCTGGCACGGCAGAGCACAATGACCGCCTAGGTAAGCTTCAGATGCACTCAGTTTTCCAAATTGAGCGTTAAAATCATCTGAGAGAATAATTATATCGGAGCTTCGGCTCAACCGAATGAATTGGGTGAGTTTATCATAAAACTCGTCTTTTCGTGCGTCAGACTGAGTGAAGGTAACCTTGGAGGTGTTGGGTACCCGGTATTGACAGAACAGTTTTCAAAAGAAGCATAAGTTTCAATTGAGTAACGGAGGATTTGATTCAATTTCAAAGGTGACATTCGTCGTGCATATAGCAAATGAAGCGTGAACTCAAAAGCTAAGAATCACTGGACAGCTTTTTCGACCTGATTGGGTCTCATCAGCAGTGCGAATCTATCGACCCAATCGGGGCCACATAGAAAACGAATTCACCATTGAAATTTAATCAAATCCTCCATTATAATCACATGAAACAAGTAGTCAGGTTGTGAATGTTTCCAACAGAGTCATTACCCAGGATAGGCTAGTACTGAGATGAGCGAGGTTTGTGAGGTGCAATATGCTTGTGAAAATGGGTTGTGCTATATCGTGTATAAATGGAAAATGAAAAAAGCGGTTTGAGCAGCTGCCCGGTGGCCGAGTGGGTAGCATGCTCGCGTTCTGCCCATGCGGTCCCCAGTTGGGTCGATGGATTCGCACTGCTGATGAGACCCAACCAGGTCGAAACAGCCGTTCAGTGCTTCCTAGCTTTTCAGTTCACGCTTCATTTGCTATATACACGAAGAATTCACCTCTGAAAAAGTATAAGCTTCTCCGCCACCGGCTTCAAGCACATGAAACTCCTGTTTCCCGGTAGTTAGCACTTGGTGGTGCACAGGTTAGAGGTGTGATCTTGAATTAACCTAATTGGAACTAAGGACGCCACTCGGCAACCATGTATCAAGACCCCAGCAGTCGAAGCGACAAATAGATTAGCAGGGAACATCAATCTACGGGAGCACAATACACATCGACTCATGTAGCCTGAGAGCTTTCCAGTTACAGATTCACTGCGGTCCTTTCTTTTGCATAAATAGCTCTTATTTTGAGTATATATCCTCACATTTTGATTGTCTCGTTTTAGCTCTCGTACTTCGGTTTTTGGTCACAAAGGTGTTGTCCTCTGCAGTTCAGTGCCCTTAATCAGATACCTGAGATAATACAGGAAGTGCAAAAGCTGTCTCTTGTGGTGAGGACACTTCCAGAAGGCTTACTGGGCTCATGAGAACTCAAAGCATACCGCAGCGACCTCACCATCCCGTCTCCACTATCAGCGCTGACGCAGCTCCAGTGAGCCTTACCAAGGCTAATAGTGAGGTAACAGCCAACGGAGTAGCACTGAAAGCTCTGATAGACACAAGAAGCCCAGAAAGTTATGTATCCGAGGCGATCGAGCTCCAGAACAAATGGTTGCAATTGACATCCAATAGTAAGATTCTCTTGGCTTCCACCCCTATGACAAGCTGTACCAGGGGTCGTTGTTTTATCCCACTAATACACTTTAATGTGGTGTGGTGGCTTGTGCACCTCTCTGACCCGAGCTACACGGGATGGCTTCAAGCCAGGAGATCTTATCA